TTCTCAGAGCTTAAATGTTTGAAATCAGTTGCTTTAAAAGATTAATTATCCTGGATTCCCTCTTCTGCAGCTTCACAGCCATTAAAAGTTGATTTTGTGTCTCAGCAAGCATTTTTGTGTTGTTCTGGCCGGACATGGATAATTATCCGCTTGGAACAAGATATTTGAACTATTTTTTATAGATTTCTGTTTAAACACTTTTTTTTTATGTATATTTTTAGTAGATTTAAGCTCTATACCCAGACCCCGTGACCAGAGGATAGACCATGTATCCTTTGAGCAAGCAATCACTGAGTAAACAGGAAAGGAATGGAGCCAATCAAAGCAGGTAATACAAGCTGATTTCACTGCCATGTTGATAGATAAGTGAGTAAATGGCCTTACTTACACTGATAGTAGTGAACTAGCAGCGATGCTATTCTTATCCTCCCTTGAAGTGATGGAAAATGTTTTACGGTGTTAAAGGCTGTGCATTATGTCTGGCATTAAACAGTGTGTCGATTGATTTATACGTTTCTTTGTTTAATGTATTAGGAATAAGAACAAGGGGGAAAGGGAGAAATTGTAATTTTACTTAAAAGTCATCTTAAACTTTAAAAAGGGGTCAGTCCTGCACCCCTCATTGCTTTACTTGGCAGTTAGAGGTTGAGATGGAAAATCCTTTGCTTTTCCTAAATCCCCCCGGATGCTGCGATAATCTCTACAATAGCAGACAAAAATAACCCATTGCCTTATGAAAACATAGAAAACAAACTAAGAAAGCTGTTATTTCTTTAATAATCCTTTCTCTCATCTGCACCCTCAAATATTTTAAAATATGTGTGTCCTGTTTTTCTTTTCTCTCTCTGTTTTCTGTACTTGCTTGCTGTATGGTGTTAATTCTGATCCAAGAGATGGAAAACGGTTAAAAAACCTTTTGGTCACTGTCCTTAATATAATTAAAAATGGCATGCATTGTACAGCATTGAGAAATGTTTTTAAAATTAGTTTGGATGACCAAAATAAAACTGAACTGTTTGATTTTGGTGTCCATTAAATTATATAACATTCTATGGAATGTATTTTCTGTTGATCAGGTGTTTATTGTGATACAGATTCTTATAGTTTTACTGCCTCGCCTTACATAGAAGGTAAAGGCCATGATATTTACCATGTTTTAAGATTAGTTGGTAATAATAAGTAATAGAGGGTGTCACTACCCGATCCGTCCCAGAAGCACAATCTGTCCTGCGTATGTGCACATATACATCCAGGTGTCCATAAATAATGTAATTATCTGTGGTGTCAAAAATTCACACATTTGTTACTTAAGTAGATGTATAGATACTACAGTTTAAAAACACTCTGGCAAAAGTTGAAGTATTAACTTGACCTCTTTACTCAAGTAAAAGTGAAAAAGTTTGTGCCACTATATGAATTGTAAGCTCAATTTTTCGGCTTTTTTGAAAAAATTCTCTGAGATAGGGCCAAGGATGAGGGAGGTCTTGTTGGTCTCCGTCTCCAGATATGCTCTCTCCTGTGTCCTACCTT